CTTGACCAACCTCATCTCCTTCTGGGTGACCAGTCTGGTAGATGAGCAAAAGGCTGTTGATGTAGTCTACCTAGACTTCTGCAAAGCCTTTGACACAGACTCTCATAGCATTCTTCTGGGGAAACTGGCTGCCTGTGGCCTGGACCCTTCTTTGGGTAAGGAGCTGGCTGGAGGGCTGTGCCCAGAGGGTCGTGGTGAACGGAGTGAAGTCCAGCTGGCGACCCGTTTCAAGTGGTGCCCCCCAGGGATCGGTACTAGGGCCCATCTTGTTTAATATCTTTATTGATGACCTAGATGAGGGGATTGAGAGCACCCTCAGTAAGTTTGCAGATGACACCAAGCTGGGAGGTGGTGTCAATCTGCCTGAGGGTAGGGAGGCCCTTCAGAGGGATTTAGACAGGCTGGATCGCTGGGCTGAGGTGAATGGGATGAGGTTCAACAAGGCCAAGTGCCGGGTCCTGCACTTTGGGCACAACAACCCTATGCAGTGCTACAGGCTTGGGGATGAGTGGCTGGATGAGTGTGAAGAGGAAAGGGACCTGGGGGTGTTGGTTGATGCTTGGCTGAACATGAGCCCACAGTGTGCCCAGGTGGCCAAGAGGGCCAACGGCATCCTGGCCTGCATTAGAAATAGTGTGGCCAGCAGGAGCAGAGAGGTGATCATCTCTCTTTACTCAACACTGGCCTCTGGTGAGGCCACACCTTGAGCACTGTGTTCAGTTTTGGGACCCTCACTACAAGAAAGACATCGAGGCCCTGGAGCGTGTCCAGAGAAGGGCAACAAAACTGGTGAGGGGTCTGGAGCACAAACCTTATGAGGAGCGGCTGAGGGAGCTGGGATTGTTCAGTCTGGAGAAGAGGAGGCTCAGGGGAAACCTCATTGCACTCTACAACTTCCTGAAGAGAAGTTTTGATGAGGACAGGCTTGGCCTCTTCTCCCAGGCAACAAACAGGACACAAGAAAATGGCCACAAGTTGTATCAGAAGAGGTTTAGGTTAGGCATAAGGAAGAATTTTTTCTCTCCGAGAGTGGTCAGGCACTGGAATGGCTGCCCAGGGAGGTGGTGGAGTCACCGTCCCTGGCAGTGTTCAAGAGGCATCCGGATGAGGAGCTGTGAGATATGGCTTAGTGCTTGTGGTGGCAGTGGAATGGCAGGATGGTTTGACTTGATGATCTTGCGGATCATTTGCAACCTTGCAATTCTATGATTCCATGATACTATGATTTTAATCTTCCTTCGAATATCTAATCTAAACCTGCCCTGTCAAGGATTAAGACCCTTCCCCCTTGTCCTACCAGTCATAATCAGCCATTCCCCTCCTCTTTATCCCCTCCCCCAAAAGTACTGGAAGGCCACAATGAGGTCTCCTTGGAGCCTTCTCCAAGCTACACAAGCCCAGTTCCTTCAACATTTCTACATAGGAGAGGTGCTCCAGCCCTCTGATCATCTTAGTGGCCCTCATCTGGAGCTACTCCAAGAGGTTGACTTGTTATTAGACAGTGCCTTAACATATACAAAAACAAAACAAAACAAACAAAAAAAGACAAAAACACCCAATTAGTTGTGTCTCTGAAATTATGTTATGGGGAGAATCTGCCCCAGCATGGTCTTGAGAAATCAGGAATGACCAAGAACTGTTTTATTTATTTGTTATATATTTATTTTTATTTTGCCTCCTGGCTGACATCACAGCCCCTTTATGCCGACCTTGCCTGGCTGGATGAAGTCACGGCCGAGGCTTGCCGGCCTTGGGTGGCTGGATTTGCAGCCCCTGCCATCCTGCCTTGGTTGGCTGGCAGCAGACAAGGCCCCCACTTGTCATGGCTAGTCTGTGTCTGTGGCTCTGTGGCTGTGCTCAGCCCAGAGCAGAGCAGGTTGAGGGCAGCCCTCATGGCGGCTGCAGCTCCTCCCAGGGAGCGGAGGGCAGCGCTGAGCTGTGCTGCCTGGTGACAGCGACAGGGCCCGAGGGAACGGCATGGAGCTGTGGCAGGGGGCCCCAGGGGCGGCTGGGGGTCAGGGAAAGGGCCTGCACCAGAGAGCGGTGGGCATGGAATGGGCTGCCCCAATGGGCAGTGGGCACGGCCCCGAGATGCTGCAGATGAAGGACTGTCTGATTTAGGTGGTCCTCTGCGGAGTGAGGGGTTGGACTTGCTGATCCTTGGGGGACCCTTCCAACTGCAGATATCCATACCATCCTAGGATCATAGAATTGCCTGCGTTGAAAAGGACCTCAGTGATCATCTAGTTTCAGCCCCTGCTATGTGCAGGATCACCAACCAGGTCCTTGCTCATCACCCCAAATGACAATGTTTTGGGGGTATTTTCACAGGTACTTCTCACAGTTCTAGGCTCCCTGTCACACTCCACTTGTGTGTGCACCATACCTTTCCATGGCTCTAGAACAGATTTCTATGGCAGTCCAAAATACCTCATTTTCTCCATTGGCAAAAGCATCTAAAATCTTTGTCCTACAGCAGTGTTCAGGCTTTGCATCACCAGCTCTCTGGGTGCTTTCTGGTACGTAGAAAACAAATTTTGTTTCATTTTTGCCAAATATTACTGCTTTCTATCTGGAAATAAGATATGTATAACTGAACAACTCACAGTTGAACAGTTTCTATGTTAAAAGCTAAAATAATTCTTACCTGAAATCACAAGGTCTGATCAAGATTGTAGTTTTATGACTATAGTCATACTACAGAAATCAACATCCACTCGGTCCACTGAGAACTGAAATAAGGCTGAACAAGGAGCTCATGGCCTGAAGAACAGTATTCTCGAAATCACTTCTCTCATCATTTGATGATTCTCTAGGTCCCTTCCAACCTAAGCCATCCTATGGTTCTGTTATCACTGGTGTTAAGTCCTGAAATTTAATACTACAACAAGCCCAAGTGACAGATGAAGGGAAAGAGCTACTTAAAAGCTTTGGAGAGAAACATTGACTGCATGTACATGCTAACTAATAAGCTTCCTATATTTTATCAAGAAGACAGACCTTTTTTTTTTTTTTTTCTTATTAAAATAATAATATGTTTTAAAGATGTAATTTCTAACATATGTTAGGTTTGGTACAAGAAGTATTTACACAATAGGAAAAGAGAGAGGTCTTGTAACGCAGTAGTAATCCTGCCATTTAATTACACCAAGAAACAGAAGAAAGTTCAGCCAGACAGGACAGAACAGCACTGAACACCAGGGAAACGTTTTATTATTAAAGCTCTATATTGGAAGAACAACAGAACTAGAATCAGATAATAGAAAACTGGCACATAAAATTAGATCTCCATGTGGCACTGTTGTAGACTGATTTTACACTGACACCCTTTTTCTCTTGCAGCTCTTCTTGTGTTCACAACAAAGGGTCTTCATCCTTTTTGCTCTCCTCAGGCATTTTCTCCCTGCTTTTTTCTGCACAGAAGGCAAAAATCATTTCCTCCCTGCCTCTTCTTAGTGTGGCATGTTTCATAGCCGCATCTGAGCATTTCACATCTGATGCCCAATTGGTGGCAGCTGAGCTGGGACACAGAGAAAAATCCTGAATCCTGAAGCTCTAGAAAGTTGAAGCCTTTTGCCCATGACAGGTTCCTTCTTACACCCCACACATATTCTTACACTTAGTGAGTCCCGTCTTTTTTTTTTTTTTTTTCACTGTACTTTTCCACAGCTTTAACCCAAATTCAGAGGCTCTCCAAAACCACACATACCTCACCTTCCCCAGTCTCCTTGCCTAACAAACTTTCTATCAAGAAAGACCTTACCTTGTTCCCTTCCCTCCTGCCACCTGCTCTGCATGCACTGTTCCACCTTTCACCCCACACTGACTCCTCTCCTGACTCACACACAGCCACACTTCCCTTGCAGCTCACCAGCCACCAAGCTGGCCCCAGCCAGTGGAGCAGTTTCCATCTCACGGTTATTCAGGTCCAGCCAGTGACACATGCTTACAAGTGGCACATATTCCTTCACCCATCCCTCGTCCTCTTGCAGACTTGCTCTAACTGTCCATGCCTTTGCCTGCCCAACTTTCTTCACCTTTCTTCCTGTTCACTGCTGTTCTCTGACCCTGCACCCCTAGTTCAACGCTGTACTCTCTTCTCTGAGGCTGAAGCCATCCTCTTTCTCCAACAGCTGCCTGCACTCAGGAAGCCAGAAAGAGATCATCCCGTCCCACTACCAGGTGTCGAACCACTAGTGGAGATCTGCAGTGCCTCAAATAGGCCTGTCTTCAGTGCCTTACAAGCTTCCAAGCTGTGGTGAAGCGGATTTTTGTTTCGTTTTGTTTTTTTCTGCCCAGAGAAGTTATGATGCCCCATCCGTGGAGATGCTCAAAGCCAGGCTGGATGAGCCCTGGGCAGCATGAACTGGTGGGGGCAGCCCTGCCCATTATGGGTTTGGAACTTCCAGCCCGAGTTATTCCGTGACTCATTCTACGATTTTTCAATTACTGAATTGTCGCATCATTTAGGTTGGAAAGAGCCTTTAAGGTCACCTAATCAAAACACCACAGCACCAGTGTGTAACTGTTACCAGTTAGACTTTCATACTATCAAGTTTCATACACAAGTTCTACAAACCGGAGCACAGAACCCTGCTCAAACGCCACGGCAGGCAGGAGGAGCACCACGAAGGGGCTGGCTTCTCCAGGCCACAAGAGGCAAGAGGGGACTCAGCACGAAACCCAGCTGGCCAGGTCAAGGAAATCCTCGTCCCACGAGGAACCTCACGGGGCCGGTGGCGAGTGATCAAAACAACACAGCGCTGCTCAACTGAGAGGCGCGCTGCCAAACGCACACCTCCCCCCTTTCTCCCCACACCTCGGCCGCCCACGAGACGGGCCGAGCAACTCTGACGGCTGAGCGCCGCGGCAGGGCAAATTGAAGCGACCGGAGGGGGAGGGCGGACACCGGGCGGGGCGTCCTTGGCGGGGCGGGCGTGGACGGGGCGGTGCGAGGCCGCTGCCTCCACGCCGCCTCCGCTCGGGTGTTCATAGCCGGGCAAGGGCACTCGAGAAAAGCGGCTGGCTGAGCAGCTGCTCGCGAGTCGGTCGGGCAAGAGCGGGCAGCAGGAAGGCAGGCAGGTAGGAAGGAAGGAAGGACGGACGGACCGACCGACCGCTCGCTCGCTCGCTCGCTCGCTGTCCCCTGCTCGCACCTGCTCCGCTGGCACTCGGGGCTGTGCGGTGCGTGCTGCCGCCGCGTACCGCCATGGCGGGGTGCAGGCAGCGCTCCGGGCAGCGAGCGGCGGGAGGGAGCGAAGATGGCGGGAGGTGGTCCCCGTGCTGAGGGACCGCTGCGAGGGGTGGCGGAGGCCACGGGTTCTCGGGGGGAGCCGGCGGGGCTCCTGCAGCCGCGACCCTGGGGTGCGGTCCTTCCCCTCCCGGAATCTCTGCACCCGGAGGTCAGCCTGCTCTGCGGGTTCCCCCGGGATGGTGCTTTTCCCAAACAGTGCGAAGCTTGGTTGCTTGTTTGTGGCTTATTGCCCAGGGGGACCTCAAGAAATTCGTGAGAGGAAGCTCTGGGCTGCTTTTGGAGTTGTGCGTTCTCCTGATGGTCACAAATGTGTGATCTCGAAGGACTGTAAGTGTGTCTGCCTCTGGTTTTTGTCGCTTGATGCGCATCATTTCCTTCTGGAAGTTGCTGTGAAGTGCTCTGCCTTGCTACCTGCCAAAATATAATCTGTCTGTGGCTTTAATCATGTGCATGGGCCTCACTTCCCTCTCACATCTCTCTGTTTTCCCGACAGGTGCTCCGGAAAACAAGAGCTGCTTTGCTCCTGTCTGCTGCGAGTGTCTCGTAAACAGCATCCCATTGCCGGGGACCCCGCAGAGCTCTTGTTAAATGTGAGTCTTGTCCTCCTTTTCTGTATGGCATCTAGCCCATCAGCTGGTGAACTCTGTCTTGCAGACTCCTGTCTCTGGCCACACATCCTTCCTTGTGTCAGTGTCAGGGCACCTTCCCAGCTAAAGAAGGGAGTGGGGCTGCTTGTAAATTAGTTCGTGTTTTAGCTATTTTTCTCTTATGGCCTGCTGAGATGATGTTGGCAGCTTCTTCAGGAATTGTAGCTTTGTCTGGCATCAGACAGAATCCCTGATGCTCTGCTGGTCTGTGGTGAGAAGGATTCCTTGTGCACATGTGTCTGAAGGCTGGCAGGGTTATTCTGCTTTATGAAGTTTCCCAGCACTTCCCCAGATGCTTATCCTGTCACACTTGCAACATTCATAGGTAACAACACAGTGTTACCCTTACTCTATGAGCTGATAACCACTGTTTTGTCAACTCATACAGACAGTTTCTTTCTGTGCCATCTGCGGACTGCTACGATATCTTTGTGCACAGCTCAAACTTAGAAAACCCTTCTCCTGGGATGTCAGAGTTGTATGCTGTATGAGGTCAGAACACTGTCAGGCACTAATTAGAGACTGCGTATGTATGAGAGCAAATTGGCATCTCAGAACCTGTTAGTGCTTGCAGGCTTAATGCTGCTTGCTTGTAGGTAGGAAACAATATATATCCAATCAGGCTAGTTGGCACTTACACCTAGCTTTACACACGAGTGATTAAAACATCAGAGGGAGATGCATGGGAATAAGGTGGTAAACTCCAGCTTGTCTTAGGCTGACCAGCTGAGCTCACAGAGGAATTCCTCTGCTGCCCTTGAAGCTAAGACTGCAATATCTTAAGGGGAAAAGCTGTGGCACGATAAAGAACAGAAAATGTGGTGGGGGCAGATGCAGATGTGAATGGAGAAGGAAGTTAGATGGACGGGGGGGTGGGGGTACAATACAGAGTCTGTTAGTTGTTAGAGTTCTTGTGTGACAGTTATATTGAATAAAGTTGAGAGGACTTCCCTCCAGATAGCTTGTCCTATTAGGATTCATGGTTTAATTTCTAACCTGAACTAAAAAAATAATCATCATCATCATCAGAGAATAGTGGTAATTTCCCAGTAGGAGGTAAAAAATGGGAAATACAAACGAGAAGATTTAAAAGGCAAACTGAAAGAGGATATGTTACAGTTGTGAACAAACAGTTTTTGAAATAGTTACGTGGTTGTGATCCTCCTTCGTGGAAAAAAAATGGTTCTTTCTGCAAGGAATAGCAGGAATGAGGTCTGTGGTATGAAACATAAAACAGAGAGACAGCAGTGTTTTAATTCTTCCAACACCTTTTTCTTTTAATCCTCAATTTCTGAATTCATGTAACTGCATGAAGATATCAAATTTCAAGTGGGTAAATTTATAGCTCCAGTATTTGCAGTGGAAATCTTGGAAAATACAGTGATTCCAACAGAAAGCAAGAAGTCTTGGGTTTATAAGAAAAAAACTGTACTTTTAAATTTATGGAGGTGCCTATAATGTGAAAGCTGTGATACAGCTTTGTTACACGCAAAAACAACAGCATTGCTTCCTCTTCTGTATACCTGGAATGGGCTAGACTTATAAAAAGGTAAAGCACTGTATCGTTCTGTCTTATAACCAGACCTCTTTTAAAGGCAATGTTTTCATTTCCCTCTTCCTTCATGTTTAACTGCCTTTTTGCTGCTGAATTCTGTTCTAGCAGTTTCTGACCTGTTGTTTCCATGTCTGTTCTCAAGCTTAGAGTAAATATAAAGAGAAGACTCCCTTACACCAGGTACGCATGTGGAGATACCAGATCTAGTGGAAGTATTTCAATCACACAATCAATACAAGCTGTTTTCTTAAAATACTTCTTGAAACACGAGAAATGCAGCTTAATCTTAGGTTGGGTTTACTGTCAAGAATTGATGGTAGCACAAATGAAAATCAGTCCTCCCTTGGATACTACAGAGTAAGTCCCTTACTGTTGCTATTTGAGGTAACCAGCCAGGAGATTTTGTGGCTTCCTGCAGTGGCCTTATTGCTGTTGTACAAGAACTGCTTTTTTCTTGCCCTTCATGTCCTGAGCTTGCTGTGCCTTTTGCTGGCATGCTGCTCTTTGCCTCCTGTGCTGCTTGAGGTCCAGCAGTAGAAGATTCAGTAACTTCATCACTTGTGTCTGGCAGTTCACCCCTTTCTTTAAATGGGACTCTGCTCCTATGAGTCTCTAAGTAAAGTGACTCAGTGTGTTGCCTTGCAGTGAAGACAGATAATTAGTTAATTATGTATGTGTGTGACTGGTGGGTTTTATGGTTCTGTTTTGTTTTCATCCCAGTGGGACACTGCAGCTCCTGGGAAGTGACAGAGAGCTTGTTGTGGCTGACACATGTTCAATGGTTTGCTTCCAGAAATCACAGAATAGTTTCTTGTGGAATAACTGTTGTTGAGGCATATGTAAGGAGGAGTTGGTCTAACTTGACTTGTAGCTTGCAGTTGTCTGAACTCAGTGCAGGGCAGTGGAAGCTGGTAGAGGAGAAGCTGAAGGTTAGCTAATAAACAGCTGTAGCTAAACCCATTCCCCATTTCCATCTGTGACAAGCTACTCCAGTAGCTGTCTCCTTATGATATTTCCAAGTCATAAGCAAAGAAGACTGACCTGGGAAACTGCTGGTGTGTGGAAGAAAGCCATTAAAACACTGCAGTGTGGGCAGACCTGAGTGCCTCCTGCTGACAATAAGAGAGAAGTTTTACCGTGGTGTATCTGGACTTGCTGTTTTGCAGTCTGAAATTTCCCTTGCTTGCAGGTAGCTCCTCGTGCAGAAGGTTGCCATTGTGATTGCAGGTATTGTTCTGATCTCTGTGTCAGAACAATACAGACTTTCCTGTTACTAATGGCAGCAGTGAAATTTTTCTAGAGCTCACTGAATAGCACTCTGTGCCAGTTTTCAGGAAGGCTTTCCCTGCCCCGGTATGTCCACATCAGCAGATCGGTTGTCCATATGCACAAAACTACTACTGGGCTCAGCACTGGCCTCTGTTATCTTCTGCTTCTGAATCCAGGCTCTGAGGGCCAATGGGCTTGAAACCTTGTGGGACCACCTTTGTTATTCTTTTTAAGGCTTTCTTGCAGCAAAGAAAAAGTTTTGGGAGCAGGGGAGTTGAATGAAGTGTGGGAGCAGCATGCTTGCTAACTTTGACCATGGAATCAGTGAAACTTGAAGTACAATCTCATTCATGCCCTTTTTTTTTTTTTTTTTTTTTTCCTTCCCTGCAGAATAGAACCAAAAATCCTTCAAGTACTTGTTCTTGTAGTTATGTAGGACAGGAAGCTGGCAGGAGAGAAACTGGGAAACTCTGTTGTGCCTCTGGAAGTAGAAACAAGATCTGTGCTCTGAAAAGATGTGTTACTATGATTTATGTTGGAAGATTTACTTGGTAAAAAGCCTGGTAGTTATCTGTACTCAGTTGCATTCAGGTTCTTTCTTTCCCTAGCTTTCTTCTCTTACTGTTTACTACAGAAATTTTGCCTGGCTTTCTTCAAGGGGGTAAAGTTAGCCTCTCCTTGTTCTGAATATTCAGACTTTGATATTAATGTCCTGTTAATCATACAACTGTATTTCCAAAGATACGGTTTGTTGAGTTGTACATCAGCAGTTGTGTTGTTTTCAATCTGTGTCTGGCCTGTCATCTGTTTCAACAGCAACAAACTTAATCAGGCCCTTTATTCCATAACGAAGTTACTGCAAAAGGAAGAATGTACCAAGAGCATGTAATACCAATAGGCTCAGCAGCAAGCATAGTAGTAAAAATCAGTGTAATTCTTTCTGCTGGTTTTTTTTTCTTTTCTCTCCTGTGTTTTCACAGATCTACTGTGGATTTCTGCCACTGAATCCTAACAGGAAAAAAAAACAAAACAAAACCAACCCGTCAGTCTGAGGAGATTCAGTTGTAATGTATTCAGTGACTGTTCCAGTACCACTAGGTGAAGAAAATAATGGACAATATAAGAAAGCTACTTTTTTCCTTTTTCTTTTTGGGGCCTTATTGCTCTGTGGTGGATTCTTGCTTTCAGTTTTCACCCTACAGTCGTGCCCTTTTGAAACCTTCAGTGACTGTAGTGGGGTCCTGAAGGCTTCTGGGCCTGTGCTGGGTGTAATTGGATTGCTTTGCATTTTAATTGCAAGATCAAGGGCCAGGTTTCATACCGGCGAAAGACAATTGCAAAATGAGCAAATATGTCACCTTTTTTTATGTCGAAAGAACTGCCAGTTTGTCCAGTTTCTCATCTTTGGATTCCTGTTTTTGACAAGTGGAATGCTGATTAGCATCCTGGGTATTTGGGTCCCTGGCTGCAGCCCTGGTGGGCCCAATATACACCTCAACCAGACTAGCAGTTCTGATGAGGACCTCCAGGGCTGTGGATTCCTGTCATTTCAAATCCTGGGGCCTCTCATTGTGCTTACTGGGTTGTGTTTCTTCGTGATAGCTCACGTTAAAAAGAAGCAAAACTTAAATCTCAACGAAGAACCTTTGGGAAATGAAGAGCGTACTCAGAGCCCTGAATCTTTTCAGGTTACTCTAGGTGAGTAAATAATGTGAGAACTTTTAAACTTTCTATTTATCTATTAATATTTGTCTATTTCAGGGATTTACTCTGAGCGTTACATGTTTGTGCAGTAAGCATACTGATACTGTAATCTCCCACCAGACAAGCCAATGGGCAGGTTGCTTTGTCTTAGCTGTTTTCTGTGTAATCAGTTCGGTTGCCTTTCTCCTGAGGAATTAACCTGTCTTTTGGTAGCATCTGATTTATAATATGGCACAAATGAGTCCAATCTCACTTCCTTTCCCAGAAAGTGTTGCTAACACTCCAAATCACATGTCTCATTGTTTCTGTGACTGTGTCTAAGACTTACATTAGCCTGGAACTCTGACCTCCCCCCACCTAAAAAAGCAGTTCATAAGCTTTGTATTATATTTCTCTGAATAATGGCCACCTCTTCTATCAATCTTTAGATGTAATTGCAACATGGTTCTGTTAATTGTAGAGCATACTGTATTTAATGAACTATTAAGAGGAAATGATGCCCTAAGTAGTACCCTGCTGTTAATAAAGCATGAATTTATTCAATATATAGATTATTCTGATAACTTTCTAGTTCTGAGGAAGGATGAATGAGTAAATTATAGCATTGCTCAACTGTCATCTGTCAGGACTTGAAGTCCAGTAAGCAAGGCAGTTGCTCTTCTGTCTGTCAAACTGATGTACAGACCTATAACTTGATGGTCCTTGAAAAAGATGAGGGTTTATTGTCAATTTTCCACGATAAATCAAAGGGGCACGGAGAATCAGTCTGATTACTTTTTAAAGGCAGTAAAGCAAATTTTGTGGATTTCTTCCTTTCATAATTCCATCAAGGAGCGTAAAACTCGAAGGTTAAAGAGTGAGGACTTACTGACAGTCACCACTGTGCCAGAATGTGCCCCTGCCTAACTCAACATCTGTTATGTTCTATGACTTGTCAGTGCAAATTGCAAAATAATAATAATAATAATGAATGCCTATATGAATTATTCAAGCTCAGTGATTGATACAAACTTTATTTTTAAAAAACAAAAATGTAAGCTCCTCAAATGCAAAATCGAATTGACAGGTAAGCAACACAGTACGCTTAAAACTGAATTATTTATCTACAGTTTTGTGGTACTCATGTTAGTAGTGTGCCTGAGTAATTTGGCAGAGAAACTGTCAAAACATTCAAAATCACAGAATCATAGCGGTTGGAAGGGACCTCTGGAGATCACCTAGTCCAGCCCCCTAATAAAGCAGGTTCCCTACAGTAGGATGCACATGAAAGTGTCCACGTGGGTTTTGAATATCTCCAGAGATGATTTCACAACCTTTCTGGACAACATGTTCCAGTGCTCAGTGGTCCTCAAAACAAAGGACTTTTTCCTCATGTTCTCATGGAACTTCCCATGTTCCAGTTTGTGCCTGTTGTCCCTTGTCCTGTCACTAGCTATCACCAGAAAGAGTGTTCATTCGCTTGACCTCCCTCCTCCTCCTCTTTAGGTATTTATAAGCATTGATAAGATCCTCTCTGTCTTCCCTTCTCTGGGCTGAACACCCCCAGATCTCTCAACCTTTCCTCATAAGGGAGATTCTCCAGGCCCCAGACATCTTTGTAGATTGCAGATGGACTCCTTCTGAGTTGTTCTCTGTCTTGAACCGAGAAGCCCAGACCTGGGCACAGTATTCCAAATGTGGCCTCCAGGGCAGAATAGAGGGAGAGGAATCACCTCCATCGCCATGCTGACCATACTCTCTTTAATGCACCCCAGAATGCCATTCTTGGCATCTTCTTGGCCACCAGAGCACACTGCTGGCTCATGGCCAACCTTTTGTCCATGAGCCTTCTCCACAGAGCTCCTCTCTAGCAGGTCAGTGCAGGTGAGGGGCTGATGTGTGTGGTTATTCTTCCCCAGATGCAGGACAGTTCACTTGCCCTTGTGGAACCCCATTAGATTCCTTTCTGCTCAGCTCTCCAGCCTGTCCACGTCTTGCTATATGGCATCACAGCTTCTGGTGTGTCAGCCACTCCTCCCAGCTTTGTATTATCAGCAACCTTGCTGAGAGTGCACTCTTATCTGTTCATCCAGGTCACTAATGAAGATGTTCAACAACATGTAATCAGTAATCGGGGCTATCCATGACTCAAATGTTTTTTATTCTATCAGTATCTACTTCAAGGCTATACTTAGAAAATGCCTGTTTTAGATGCATGAGGAAAAGCCAAGTACTCGTCTGCTCTTAAGCTGAGCCAACAGTAGCTGTTGTCTTTGTACTTGTTTCTGAGGACAACCAACATGTAAGAGATTTGTCTCTTTGCTAAATGAATCACTTCCTCCCACTTAGTGGTATTTTCTAGAAGAAATATTCCGTTTACGATTGTGCTTTTTCTGGGGGGAACAAAACTTCAGTGTACACCTGCATTGCAGAATATAACAGATCCTTATGTAGCATCATTGCTTTTTGTCTTAAAAGTTAGACAAGTACCACTACCATAATTCTGAAGACAGGAAACATTCTGAAATTCAACTAGAATAGACAGGGGAGCTCAGTTTTCCAGAGGTAGTAATTGGTGTTTCTTTTTCATAAGGTGATGCTGTGTTGATGTTCCCACCTCCACCACCACCATATTTTGCTGACCCTCTGTCTCCAGCTGTGACACATTGTCTTATGTCAAGTGCTTCATCTGCACCTCCACCGTACCATTCCGTGTTCAGTGATGGGTAAGGCTGTTTTATTGTCTGTTTTGTTGTAGTTTGTTTGTTTTAAATCCAAGATGGTTTTTCAAGGTATCCAAGATTATGTTCGTAAATAATCACTGTTAACTCTATGCTAGGCACTATGAAGTTTTCTATTGCATCATTGAACTTCCTTTAGATACTTTGCTTTTCTGGTACTGAAATATCCTCGTATAAAAGAGGAGTCACATTCCAAAATATCTTTTACAAAAGTTAAACTTTTTAAGTTTATTACTGGAAGGGATGTCTGGTGATATTCTGTGGAAGGTTGTTAGTTTTTGTTTTTGTTTTTTTTTTTAAGCCTTAAACCTGTGGCCTTATTTAGATATTACTTGATTGGAGTTCTTCCATAGGCTGTCAAGAAAAGGTACTCCTCACAGCAGTTCCCCAGTGACATGGTAACTATGCTGCCAGATTTTAGGAAGCCTCTGCAGAGCCAGTGCAGTGAGCACTTCACAATACGTATCTAGATGCCCTGTGATGCTAGGAGTGCTACTTTAGTTTGTGTCCTGTTCTCTTGATGACTCCTTTGGAAAGTCTGTGCTGGCTTTCCCTGATCATTCAGTGACAGTGTGGTGTGACAGGATATATTGATAATGTGGAGGAATAGCAGAGAATGTTCCAGGGAGCTTAAAGGGAAGGTTGCAAACCCAATTTCATCTCAAGATAAGGAGGCTGTCCCATGCAGCCACTTTTCTACACACTGAGCATAGGTGACTTGCTCAATGCTGCCACCACCAAGCTTGTGCAGCAGGAGTTTCTGAATGAAGAGTTGCTTGCATCATAAGAATTTGCAGGGATATCTCCCTGTGGGATCCAAGCAGTGGGTTCCTATCTTGAGGGTGAAAGAGGCCGCATACCAGAACTAGGTAAGGCCAGGAGGTAGATGCCAACATACATAGAGCCCTCAACTTATTTTCATGCTCTTGATGATTCAGAATTGAGGACCTTTGGAAGGTCCTCTATGAGTCTTTTAGGACTTGTTCATCAGGATGTCCTTAGTCTGCAAGACTGCACAGCATATCAAGCACCATCACTGCAGCAAGAACCCCATCTGCCTAGCTGTGTTTGCTTAGCAGTAGCTACTGGGTTGTTTCTATAATAGCTTTCCGCTATACTCCAGACTTCTGCTCACAAGTGGCAAATTCCACAAGCATCCATACCAGCTGTCTGCCTCATGTCAGTACTTCAAAACTCTACCATCTTCCCCTGAAAGCAAGCAAGCACAACCTCAAAGACCTAAATGCCACAGGAGAAGGTTTGTGATAGCAGTGTTTATTCCTGTTACCATACTGTTTGAATCCATGTTTGTGCTTTTCTGCAGTAAATTCACACATAGCTTCAGTGCTGTTACTAAGAAGTGAGGTGACTATGCTTTATTCCTGCTCCTTGTGCAGAATTGTTCAGTGTAGAAATATACATGTGAGCATGAGATAGCTCTGAGAGTCAAACATAAAGAGTGAAGTCTTTGCTTTTCTTGGAAGCTGCTTAAGTGTAATATACTGAGGGCCATCTCTGAGGTGAGATGAGCAAGGTACCAGAACGGTGTTGGCGCAACTGAGATCCAGTTGTAATGGTCAGAGGAAGGTTGTGAATACCTCGTTGCTCACTTCTGCTTTCATTGTGAGCTTAGTAGTCCACTTGTCCAGTTACTTCTGAGTCTGTCTCTCAGCAGCAATGTAATTGCATATGTCTAATGTGTTGCTGGAAAACTTATAAAAACTCCAAGTTACCTGTAATTTAAGATCTCAGGCAGCTAGGAATTTTTGTTTTAGTTATGCAATTCTAAGTCTAGTAACCATTTTTACAGAAGAAGTGGAGAATGGACTGTGGTAGACTGCAAAAATGAAGATGCATTAGGAGTAAAGGTTCAGAGGCTTAATAGGATTGCCCTGTTAGAAGCAGCTAATACCCCTAAGTCAGGCTATGATGTGAATCGGAAGGGAGTGTTTGCTCTTTCTTGCTAAAATAATGGAATTTTTGTGTCATAATGAAACTCTCATGCCTATGTAAGTTGTTTCAGGGAATCCTAAAAGTTGTGCATTCATATACATTTATGTAAGTCAGGGGTAAGTTTCACTTGCTGTAGGAGGAACTATATTAACACACAATTTTCTGTTTTATAGAGCACAGTTTGCGGATGATCAAAGAACAGTTGCTGTTAGAGACGAAGAAACCATATACACAATTTCTGGGTGCAGTTCACCATTGGTTATCTCTCCAGTGCAGTTTTTCTTCTCTGAACCACCTCCAGGCTATGAAGAAAAAGCATCAGTGGAAAGTAATGAATACTCCCTTTCTTCTTCTCTTTCATCTTCTTCTGTAGTGACTACTGACACCAGCTCATAGAGGGCTGTCAGGTAGACCAAATTTTCAGATGAAATTGTACACTCAGATTTATGATCTTTAAATTTATTTACATTTTCTAATAAAATCAGTAACACTGCATTTGTCTGTTTTTTCATTAACAAGCATAAGTGAGGAGTTTGTGTTTTAAGAAATAAGAGATAATGCTGGACTTTTGAGTTAGTGGTAAGAAGGGATTCAGTTCACTACAAGAATGCTGAATGTTCATCTTCTTGTGTTTTATGCTTCAGTTTCTGTATTTAGTTCTTTATATAATGAAGGCAGAAAGTTGTGACTATTTTTTTTTTTTTTTTTGCTTATTTTAGTTAAACCTGCTTGGAGTTTCAAAGAAGAAATCATTAGAAAGTGTTTCTTTTTTTTTCTGTTTTTGTATTACTTTGTGGTAAATGCTTGTCTGCTGTTACTGATTTCATGTGTTCTCGAGAGCATCAATGATAGCAGTCTTAAAATATGGACCATCATAAGATGGGGAGCTAATATGCTGTGGAGACCTTAAGTGGTTACATCTTGGTCTGCCTGGTAATAAACACTACATGGCTTAATTTAGTCACTCTCTGGTCCTTGTGTGAGTATAATCCACAAGAAAATAACTTTTATTCAGTGGAAGAGTCCTGTGGCAGCATTGAGGATGGTTAATAGTCTAATACTTTAATTATGGTAATGACTGATTTCAGGGAGATTATACTACTGTTGTATATTGTTTGTGGTGTACACAAGCAATACCAATTAACTTCAAGGATGAGATCCACTTAACAACAGTATCTTTCAGGAGCAAACATTATTTACTAGCTAATGCAAGATACTATTTCATGGAGACGTGTATAGCACATGTTTATAGCTGACAAAGCACTTCCTACACATCCCTGTATTTCTTTCAGAAATACAGCTTTCTTTAGGCTCATCCATACCTGTGTGGCTCCAAAAGTCAGTGGCTGCTGCCTGCTGTCATGGATTGACAAGAAGTTGCAGGTCCACTTCAGATGTTTGCACCTGCTCCCAGATTGAAAGCTGTGCTTGTAGGAGTTGAGGATAATTAGCAGGAACTAAGCTGCTGCTAGTATTTGGTGCACTGTGACTTGCTGTGAAGTCTGCTGCAATCTGTGAAGAAAAACTGACCTAATTCTGTGCCTGGAAACTGAAGGTGACAAATCTACTATTTCTGCTAGATTCAGTATGAACTTCTACCAGTGTCAGTGCACCCCACAGAAGTGGTCTGTCCTCAGCTGAGTCCTTGGACATCTGCATGCTATGGGACCTCGACTGCAGCAGGACTTGTTTTCTGTCGGGATGAATTCTAGAAAGTTGACTGTAACAGAACACCCAAGCTTTGAATTAATCAACCAGGTTCCCTCCTCTGCCTGGGAAAGGCATTTGCCTTGTATTTCACATGAACATGCTTTTTGCCACCAGAGTAGGCAGGGAGATGTTTAGTAACTTCTGCATTTGGCCTTTTGTTTCTACTTATGTGTTATTCTCTCAGCCTTGCAGGAGTAGCAGTTTTTGTAGCAGTGTGAAGAAACAAACTGGTCAGTGACATGGAGTTGTATTTAGTCATCAATAGAGCTGGAAACCAGCAAGTGATGAGGGAGATATGCTTATACAGCAAAGGAGCTGAGGAACTCATTTTCTTTAAGGTTAAAAGTCAAAGACTGCTTATTCTAATACAGAAATATATATTTAATTATGTTGTAATCTTTTTCTTTCTTTCTTCAAAAAAAAAAATACAGGCATATCTGCCTGCTAACTATAAAGGCCTTATGAGCTGTCTGCAATCAGTTTTTCCTGAGATGTATCAAAGAGATCAGGCATATCAAGTAAAATATGATGACTCTGAGCTGAGTCTTCAGGAAGTGAAACATGATCTTACTATTTTTCTTCAAAGTTATTGTTCCTTGATCTTCTACTGCGGAGTCTCCCTTGTGCTTCACTTTATTTCTGAAAACCGGGCTTGAAGGAAAGCTGCTTGGAAGCAGCTGAATGGTTCTGGATTTCCTGGGAGTGGTGGATTTACTTACTCTTTAAAATAAGGCTTCGCAACAGAAATTTCTTATGTATCATCCTGAGAAAGTTGCCTACTAAATAGTTCATCTTACAGCTGTGTAAGCACCTTCTATTTTTGAATTGAGTGGTCATTCCTTTAAAATTCCCTGGGTGTGCTAAGTGCATTTCCATGACTTTTTGAACACTGACAGCTCTCAACGCCAGGGCAAGAGCATTTGCTTACTGAGTTGTCAAAATCTATTTCAGCAAGGTCAGAAAATGTGAAAAAAAAGACTGGCAGCTCCACATCCACCACTGATGGCCACCACTGCATGAACAACATTAGTAGGTGGAATTTTTTTATGTGGGGAGTAGGGGTAAAACGCCCATACTAGAAAGGAAGCATCACCTTGTAAAACTATAAAAGTAGCTTAAAATAATACAGAATAGCAATTTTGTTGAGGAAATGACTTACTTTACTATTGTAGTAGTGATCTTATAACCCCCTTAATACCTTAAGGTTAGCTTAAGTGCTTGACGTGCAAATTCTAGCAAGCAAATCAAGTTAGTTACTGATTCACATACTTAAATAGGCAAAGTGGGAGGTAAGGACTGCTTATCCTCTCTAAGTGAAGTTAAGGTCTGTCTGCAGTGTCATTGCTTAGCTTCTAACTGGATCAGTATAGCCTTTTGGATATGAGAAGGATTCACAAATGCATGAAGGGATAACTCTTTTCAAGGATAAGTTTCTTCCTGCATCCCCAGCACCCAGAAATTTTGAAAACAAACTCATCTGTAAAACTGAAATTACAATGATTTTTTTTAAATGGTGGCATGTTTTTAGGATAGCCCCATCCTTGACCTCTGCCACTTATAACACCATATCACACTATCCCCTTTCTATCCTACCATCTAAGGTCACCATTCATGGGTCACATATGTGTCCAGGCAGACATTTCTGCCAGTGCTTCCATGCTTCTGCAGTTGATGTGTCCGCCTTCACGTAGAACTGTGCTCCCTCCTCGACCATACAAGTGTATATCCGTGTGTTTGTGTATGGAAACACCTTTTATTTGATTGGACATCTGGCATGACAGCATTCCCTGGGAGAGATAAACCCATCCTGTAGCTAGAAACTGCTGAGGGCAGCTGGCTGAACTGGCTCCATTTGGCATGCTTCAGCATTGGGGCTGGCACTGCGGCAGTACAGGGCCACAGGGTATGAGGCTCACTCATGGTTAGTTGATAGTCTAACGTGTAATTTGTGATTTTCACTGAGGATGCCAAGTACAGTTTCCTTTCTATAGGAAAAAAAAGTTATTTTAGTCCAACCACTTCAGCCACTCTGCAGTTGAAAATCATATTATGGAGTTGTATTTTGTGCCTTCTATATTAAGAGCTCTTTTAAAATAAAGCCTAGCTTTCTTTTAGAAGTTCTATAGCTAGGCCCCTGATTCTATGTAAGAAATATAAGAAAACAAAACCTTACTATGACAGACTGATGTTGTGAAGCACGGAAGAATTGATAGCAGATAGAGAGGAGAAAGGAAAGATGACCTGAGGACCCGTTAGTATCTGCTAGGAAGACTCTTTAACTGGGTTAGAGAATCAAGAAGATACAGGAAGCCTCAGAAAAACGTCTTCCCAAAGCAAGACAGTTATGCAGAGGAACAGTAAGCAAAGCAGTGGCAGAGTGTAGGAGTAAGGTCCCTGAAGCAGATTGGAATAACACTGCAGAGAGGTCTGAATACAGTACCCATTTTGAAAAAGGGTCCAGAAGCCAGCCTTTGAGCTACCTGAAGATAATGGGGATATAGTCTCCCATTTCTCTGCTTGACAATACTGAGAGTAATATTCTGCATGATGCTCTACTGCAATTAAAACAGAAAGGTTTTAGAAAACACATTCAAGCCCATTTCCTGTGTTTCGCCAGATTGTTTTCACCACCATTCATTTAGCAGTAATTCCAGTTAAAAGGGGTGTGTTTATTAAATCACCGTCTGTAAGTAAGTTCCCAGAACATCCCCTTGGAAAAGGAAAGTATTGGCCTTAAAAAACCAATGTGATTTGGTAATCTCTTAAAACCTTGACATCTGCCTGGCTTTGACACTCTCTGGGGAAACAGTGGGAAAAATGTGGGGAAGGTTAGAAAAAAAATGTTCTTTACAAGGAAAAGTGAAATTTTCATTCATCCGATCGTCAAAGTTGAAATGGCAATTAGTCTTGGAAGAAATCACTCGTATTCTCCAGCTTTGCTGTGCACGTCCTCAGCAAGAAATATACCATATCCCTGGCCACAGACAAGGAACATAGCCCAAGGACTGCTGCAATACAGGAAATCTCTGATTCCATACAGCATCTCAGCACCACCCCTACGGAGGGCCCAAGGAAAGGATCCAGAACAACTCTCTTGTAAATAACAGTTGCAGAGCACTTGAATCATAGAATCATAGAATCGTAGAATCACCAAGGTTGGAAAAGACCTAAAAGATCACCCAGTCCAACCGTTCACCTATTCCCAATAGCTCCCACTAAACCATGTCCCTCAACACAACGTCCAGCCTTTCCTTGAACACCCCCAGGCTCGGTGACTCCACCACCTCCCTGGGCATCCGTTCCAGTGCCTGACCACCCTTTCTGAAAAGTAATACTTCCTCATGTCCAGCCTGAATCTCCCCTGCCGTAGCTTGAAGCCATTCCCCCTGGTCCTATCACTAATGACACGAGAGAAGAGGCCGACCCCCAGCTCACTACAACCTCCCTTCAGGAAGTTATAGGGAGCAATGAGGTCCCCCCTGAGCCTCCTCTTCTCCAGGCTGAACATTCCCAGCTCCTTCAGCCTCTCCTCATATGGCCTGTGTTCCAGACCCCTCACCAGCTTTGTTGCCCTCCTTTGAACACGTTCCAGGGCCTCAATATCTTTCTTGCAGTGAGGGGCCCAAAACTGGACACTGGAATGACTGAGAGTAGATACTACATCTGATGTGATACTACATCTCCACATACCATCAGTGCAAAGACAGCAATTGTAATATGTTGATTTAAAGAGAATGTTGGAAAGCTTGGAAGATTAAGCAAATGGAGGCAACAGTGATTCATGGTATGGAAAAACCTGACACACAGAGAGCAGTAACAGAAGTTCATTCAATGTATTTAAACAGATAAAAGATTAAAGATGATGTAGGTTTTAGCTATAATTACCAGTGCAATGATGGCTTATCTAATATTTCAGCAGTTCTTAATTTGGCTGCAAACCCTGACCCTCTCCTCAAGTCTTTACCTGGTGTTGGGAAAAGGGCGAATCTGTGATCTTGTCAGAAATTTTGTTGGCACCTTCGGTAATAGAAGAGCCATAATAATGACTCTGAAAAGTTCCTGGACATTTTAAAGGGAATTCAGCATTAACATTTCTCAGGGTGTCTCTGCTGACAAATGAGAAGAGAAAGACACAGCAGTATACCAGCATCTCCTCGGAAAGTTTTGGTGAGCAGTCATGTTCGGAACTGATCTTAGAGCACAGTAGCTCAAGGCACT